TGAATTCCTGCTGAGTTCATCTGAAATCTGGATTAAGTTTGTGTATTTGATCGTAATTAGGGTTTAGTTTAGGATGAAATCTTTGTTTAGTGTTTCAAAAGGGGAAATCCCGAGTTCAAGAAGAAAGAAGTGTCGTCATTTTGCAAAAGAGAATGAAAAACAAATGTGGGCCGAGCCAGAAGCCCAAATATTTTAGAAAATATGCAGCCGATTTTTTTTTATTGGGCCGATTTTTTTTCTAGGGGGATTTAGGCGTTGGTTCCGCGGTTCACCGCCTAGCCCAGCCGACCAGGAGAAAATCGCGGCGGTGCTCCTCCGCCGAGCGCCTAGGCGGCCGCCTAGGCGGCTAGGCGGCCGAGTTTTTGAGCAGGGATAAAGACGCAAGGGCAGATTGCATTATTCACATACCCTTTCTTTATCAAATATTCGCTTAAGCGATTATACCACATGCGTCCGGATTGTTTTAATCCGTAAAGTGATCGCTGTAACTAGACCGAACATATTTCTTTCGATTTGGAACTTAATGCTTCAGGCATTTTCAATCCTTCAGGAATTTTCATATAGATATCATTATCAAGTGATCCATATAAATATGCTGTCACAACATCTATAAGGTACATTTCAAGATTTTTGGATGCCGCAAGACTCATTAAGAATCTAAAGGTAATTGCATCCATAACCGGAGAATAAGTTTCTTCATAATCAATTCCCGGTCTTTGAGAAAATCCTTGGGCAACAAGTTGGGCTTTATATCTTGTCACCTCATTTTTCTCATTTCTTTTTCTCACAAAAACCCATTTGTACCCAACCGGTTGTACATCTTTAGGTGTTGTGACAATAGGTCCAAAAACTTTCCTTTTATTAAGGGAGATCAATTCAGTTTCTATGGCCATTTTCCATTTCTCCCAATCAGATCTTTTCTGGCGTTCCAATATGGACCTTGGATCTGGATCATCAATTTCATATTCAATTTCTTTGCATACAGAGAATGAGAATATTCCATCATTATCTTATATTTCATCTCTAGCCCATAATATCCCATCTTGGGCGTAATTGATGGAAATCTCATGATTTTCTTCGTCATTTTCGTCTTCAGGACATTTCTCTGTATGTGGTTCTTCTGGACTATTTTCATTTTTTTCCCAATTTCTTTTTCTTTCGGGGATTTTTATCCTTTGAGCCAATTGGCCTCCCCCTCTTCAACTGAACTTTGGGTTCATTCGCTATATTTCCATCATTTTGTTCTTCCGGAACGTTAATTCTCGATGGAACATTTGCAGCGGGTATATATGACTTTGTCACCCTTTTTGTATCTGTGAACGCATCTGGTATTTCATTTGCCATATTTTGTAAATGAACAATTTTCTGAACTTCGAGTTCACGTTGTTTCGTAGGGGGATCAAGATGCAACAAAGATGGTGTGCGCCATGTAACATCTTTTGGAACTTCTTTAATTCCTCCCCCTAACGCTGGAAATTCATCTTCATTAAAATGGCAATCGGCAAAACGTGCCGTAAACATATCACCAGTTTGCGGTTCAAGATACCTAATTATACTTGGTGATGTATAACCGATATATATTCCCAATCTTCTCTGTGGCCCCATTTTAGATCTCTGTGGTGGAGCTATAGGAACATAAACCGCACACCCGAACACACGCAGGTGGGATACATTTGGCTCTTGCCAGATGCTAATTGTATTGGAGAATATTTATTATAAGAACTCGGTCTTATCTGAAGCAATGCCGCTGCATGCAAGATAGCATGACCCCATACTGAAATTGGGCGGTCTAGCAATGAGTTGTAACCGTTTAATCAATGACTCAGCCATACCATTTTGTGTGTGAACATGTGCAACAGGATGTTCAACATCAATTCCCAATGACATACAGTAATCATTAAAAGCTTGGGAAGTGAATTCACCAGCGTTATCAAGTCTTACTTTCTTTATCGTATAATCAGGGAACTGTGCTCTCAACCTAATTATTTGGGCAATGAATCTTGCGAATGCCATATTACGTGTTGTCAATAAACACACATGTGACCATCTACTGGATGCGTCAATTAATACCATAAAATATCGAAATGGCCCGCATGGTGGGTGAATAGGCCCACATATATCACCATGTATTCTCTCTAGGAATACTGGAGATTCATTCCCGATTTTAGCTGGTGATGGCCGAGTTATAAGTTTTCCTTGAGAACAAGCATTACACATAAATTCTCCCGATTAGAAAATCTTCTGGTTTTTCAACGGATGGCCATTAGAATTTTCCACAATTCTCCGCATCATGACTGAACCAGGATGCCCTAATCGTTCATGCCAGATTTGGAATGTACTAGTAAACTTCGGGTTTACTGTAACATATGTTTCAGTCATATTTATCTTTGTGGAATATATTCCGGAGGATAATGCTGGTAATACTTCCAGTACAACTTTTCTCTCCGAAATAACTGATGTAATGCAAAGATATTCAATGCCGTTCTTATTCATAGGTTCTATGTGATATTCATTTCTGCGGATATCTTTGAAACTTAACAAATTTCTGTAAGATCCGGGGGAATATAACGCATCATTTATTTCAAACTTTGTTCCCCTTGGCATTGAAAAACTGACTCTTTCGGAGCCCATAATAATTTTTGCATTACCAGATATTGTATTCACGCTTCCAGCGGAATCTTTCATATTAAGAGAGGAGAAATACTTTTTATCTTTTAATATTGTGTGCTTTGTCGCACTGTCTGCCAGACATATATCTCCATCCTCGATCTTAATCTTTGACATTTTCTAAATTCAAGATATTCATAAAAGATAAATTAATATAGCAAAACAAAAGAGTTTATATTATAATAAAAACCTTTTTACAACAAAAGATACATTTTAAACATTTTTATTTTCCACACTATGTATACATCATGTCACATCTTTTTTTTCGAGAAGATTTTACTCGTTTTGTTTTTCGTTGATATCTTCGGGATCAACAATGAAATCAGATACATCGAGATTTGTATCATCGTTTATACCATCAAAAGAAAAACTAGATTCACCATGGATGAAGTTAGTTTCACCTTCTTTCCCTTTCGCCTTTTGCGATTCTCGGTACAAATCGGCTAAATGTTTTGGCGTACGACAGGTACGAACCCAATGTCCTTTCATGCCGCATCTGTAGCAAGCACTCTCATGTTGCTTGCGACCAATTTCATTACCTTTTAACTTTTTGTTATTTCTTCCATCGTTTAAATGAGCAGGACGGAATCTTCTTTCTCGTCCACGACCTCGACCACGTCCAAAACCTCGTCCACGACCACAATCATTTCCGCGACCGCGTCCATGTCCACTTTGCCAATTTTCATGGCTTGATGATGCAACATTCACTTCTGGGAATGGAGCTGATCCAGTTGGACGAGTTTGATGGTTTAAAATCACGAGTTCATTATTTTATTCTGCCACCAAGAGAACTTGCATTAACTCCGAATACTTCCTGTATCCGTTTGCCCGGTATTGTTGCTGCAGGACTACGTTTCCAGGATGAAATGTTGAGAGAGTTTTCTCAATCATATCATGATCACTTATCTGTTCACCACATAACATTATCCTCGAAGTGATTCCAAATAGAGCGGAGTTATACTCACTAACGCTCTTCTAGTCCTGGAACCGGAGGTTCAACCACCCATGTTTAGCCTTTGGTAAGATCACATATTTCTGGTGATCAAACCTATCTTGGAGTGATTGCCAAAGATCTGCAGGATCTTATTTCGTGATATATTCATCTTTTAAACCATCATGGATATGGTGGAATAAAAAGATCATGGCTTTCGCCTTTTTCTCTTCAGGAGTTGTTTTCGTTTTATCGATGGTATCAAGGAGCTGATTTCTTTTTAAATGCATCCTTGCAGCTACTGCCCATCTCATATAATTTCTTCCAGAAATATCAAGGGCAGTAATCTCGAGTTTTGTCAAATTCGACATAATAACTGTTATCAATATAACAATTTATAAATTTGGTCATAATCCAGTTTTAAAAAATTCTGATTTTAATAAAACATGATAAAATTTTAGAATTTATAAACGTAAAAAAAACTGAATTTAAAATACTGAATTTAAAGTAATAATAAACAGAAATTAAATAACAGTATTAACAGAATTTAAAGAACAATAATTAAAATAAATATTCGTCTTCTGGACGAAATTAATTATGCAGCTTCAGGAACGTTTTTATATATCTTTTGGATATATATTATTCATATAGTTCTTCTGGAACTATTCTTTTTCATATGTCTTCTGGACATATTTTTTTTTTTAAGTATGTCTTCTGGACATAATATGTTTTTCTTAGTTCTTCACAAACTTTTCTTAAATATCTTCTGGATATTTATTATATGGAGGTAATGATCTGAGGAGTCAACTACCATATGATTATAAACCAACCATATATTTGATCTGAGGAGACATAGTCTACCATATGATCATGATCGTAAAGGCGTAGCCTCCATAATGATCGGTTCGGAGAAGGCAGCGCCTATCATCCCGACCATAGTATATAAACGTAACTGGATTGAATATAAATTAAACCTCACCTTTTCGGTATAGGAACGGTATAAGAACGGTTCGTGCTGATAACGTTTTAGATATTATATGATATGATATAAGTGAGTGTTTGTATATATGTATATAAGGTGAAATATAATTATGTATATAATATAGAAGAGACGAGAGAGAAAAAGGGATGAGAGGAAGTGATTTCTCTTTCTATTATTACTACATCTCTTATCACCACAATTACAAAGGGTGAGACAACATATTTATTTATAATCAAAGTATACAAATGGCTAAGTCGGTGAACTTAAGGCGGTGAAAGAAACTTTCACAACAAGTTAAACTAAAACAATAAAATATTAATGTGGATAATTCACTTCTTTAACAACACTAACTATTCTTTCACAATTTTACACTTTCATCACATCCCCACTAGAGAACAAAGAGATCTCTATCTCTCTCTCTCTCCTCTTTCGTTTTCCGCTTTCAGATTGAGTTTGACTCTTTGCCAGCCACCTCCTGCACTCTTTCTCTCTCTCTCCATCAATGGCGACACCATACCTTCTTCTTCCTTTCTCTCTCTTCAATCCCTTGAAGTAAAACCCCTCTTTGCTACCTCTGTCTCTCTCCAATACGCATCAAATCTCAAAACCCTAGATTTACCAAAAAAGTTCTTCTTCTTCTTCTCTTATGTTCTTGTTTCTTCCATGTTTATATGGAATCAGGTAACAGTGAAAGCTTACAATCTTCAAGCGATGAACACGAATCTTCATCAACAGGAGCTGCAGCTGATCACTCCACTTTTTTCCTCCCTCCATTCTCCTCTTCATCCTCCTCATCCTCAGCCTTCTACAGCGGCCCAGCAACCCTCTCCTCCTCCTCCTCCTCCACCACCACTTACCAAAACTTCATCAACAATCTCATCTCCGATGACATTATCAACCAAACCCATCTCCTCTCTCATCCACCACCACCACCACCACCACAGCCTCCTCCTCCGCCTCCTTCTTCCTCCTCCAGAAACCCTAGAAAACGAACAAGAGCTTCAAGAAGAGCACCAACCACTGTTCTCACCACCGACACTTCTAACTTTAGAGCAATGGTTCAAGAATTTACTGGCGTCCCTGCATCTCCTTTCTCTCACCCTTTCTCCTCCACTACTCGCCGCTTCGATATTTTTCGGTCTCCGTCCTCCGATCATCCTCTTACTTTCAACCCTTTTCGTCCAATCCCTCAAAAACCTCATCAACAACCTTTGATCCCTTCATCATCTTCTTCTTTGCTTAACCAATTTAATAACCACACTTCTATTTCAACAAACTTTCAATCTCTTACCGATTTACCCCTCCCTCAATGTGACCAAGTTTCTACATTTCAGTCTCTTTTATCTCATCAACATCATCATCATCATCATAATCAAACACTTTTCTCTCTTCACGATCTTGACTCAATGAACCTCGGAGCATTACACCAAAATCAAAATCACACTCCAACGGCTGATGATGACCACCAGCTGATGATGATAAGACAGCTCTCGGAGTTTGATCGCCGGACGGAAAAGGGACAAGACTCTTCTTCTTCAGCTCCGATCAAAGGCTCTTCAGGTACTACTACTACAACAACAACAACACTTGATCCATGGATTTGCCATACAAATTCAACCAATAATTGAATACCGTATATCGTATACATCATTTTATAATTATTGATTTTATAATTAAACCATATCTTACAATCTTAAATTCTCTTATAATCAGATTGTAATCACTGAGATTGAATTATCAGATTCTTTTTTCTTCTTATAAATGATAATATTCCATCAAAATATTTATTATAATTTCTAGTGGTTATACCCTGGCTACACGTTACGCTGACCCATAATGGGGTATATGATTCTCTAACATTTCGTAAGTACTGTTTTTGTCCAAAAAAAAAAAACATGTTGAAAGTATATATATATATATATTGTTTTCTGAAAGAAAATATGTAAATGTTTATACGTTATACATTTGGCTCTTGATGAGATGTAAATGTTTGTCTTGATGAGAATCTAGTTCGGATTTTGTTCGTTGGTCTAAATAGGACAGATCACACGTGTACTGTCTTTTGTTAAATCATACTTGGACAATCTCCCCCTATTATTATTAGAGTTTAATAGAAATAATTATAGTAAAAGGCACTTTTCAAACTCATATTATACTATAAGGCATTTCTAGCTATTAGGTGACTTTTCTATTTTTCATTCCGAAATTGTCCTTGTGTTCACGATAATGGTGGATATGAACTTGTGGATACCGAATTAAATCCAGATTTTAAAAATAGTAATTATTTTTCCCCTTTTGTTTTGTTTTGTATTTTTCTGTATTGTGAAATATTTAAAAATTTTTTTTTGTTAAAATGAATTCTAATTTTATTTTGTCATTGTTTTAAGATCTATTATGCTATACTTTATTTATCAAACAAGAAACTTTTCAAATAACCTTTATAAAATTTTTTAAAAAATCAGAATCTACTTAGATATCCATTCACAAAATACGATGTGGATGATGCGTGATGGACATATAACTTGGACACAATTATGTGGATAGGTTTTCATTCATTTATTCGACGTGGATATACATTTTATATTGTCTATAATTTGAACATGATCATGTGGATAAGTTATTGATAATATAATATGTATATCCATATCGAATCTATCAATAAAAAACATATCCACACAATCATGTTCATAATGTGGACAATATAAAATGTATATACACGTCAAATATATGATTGAAAATATATCCACGCAATCGTATCCATGTTATATGTCCATCATGCATCATCCACATTGTATTTTGTGAATGGATATCTAAGTAGATTTCTGTTGTTTTAATTTTTTTTATAAAGGTTATTTGAAAATTTTCTTGTTTGATAAAGAAAGTATAACATAATGGGTCTTAAAACAATGAAAAAATAAAATTAGAATTCAATCTAACAAAAAAAATTGTTTTATATCTTTTACACTACAAAAAAATACAGCACAAAACTGAAGGGGAAAATAATTAATGTTTTTAAAATTTGGGGTTTAATTCGGTATCCACGAGTTGCATCTACTGTTCTCGTTAATACATGGGCAATTTCGGATTATTTTGGTGTAAACAGTGTTTAAAGTACAGAAAAAGTACCCTAATAGTTGAAAGTGTCTTTTTTTGTAAGAAGAAGTTGTAAGAATGCTTTTTAGTGTAAATCACTCGATTATAGGCTTTTAAAGTCTTATCAATGTTCCCAGTACTTTTGATAACTATCCTCTATCTCCTTATTTATGAAAAATAAATTGGTGTTTTCTCGGTTTAAATTGTTACATTTTTTTAAGTTTTCAAACGTAATAATAAATATATGTATATGACTGGAAAATGCATCATTTTTATAATCAAACAAATTTTTTTTAATTCAAACCAGTAGTAATTCAACAAACTCAATTATATTTATTGAAATTAACAACTTTTTTATATGCAAAAACAATTAACAACTTATCATCAGTAATCAATAAAAATGCATTTTTAACATTCAACTAAACATTTGGAGTAACTGTTAATAAGCCCTTTCGATAATTTTGGGTGAATTTGCGGAAATTATGAAATCTTCATTTTTTTCACCTAAAACTATTAAATTTTAGATAACTTTTGAAAACGCCTTGAACTCATTAAAAAAAAACAATGGTTAGATGTTTTTCAATAATAGTGGATGTGAAGTTTTTCTTTTTTTAAATCATTAGTTCAATAGCATTAGAATTTTAGAGACATAAACAAATCTTATAACCAAGAGTACTGGACATAATAGAAATTTTTGAAATTCATGGTTAAATAATATTTAACCATGAAATTTGTTATTTTTTAACACAAATCCATCCAAATGCTTGAACACAAAGTTTTCGCTACACTTTTCTTCTACAATTGCCTTATAAACTTATGTTCTTTAAACTGTTTAATTAAATAATTAATAAAAAGGGTTATTTTTTTATTTACTCTCGGTTGATACACTCATACATCAACGTGATATAGCTTCCGTAGAGGGCACGAAGTTGGGCTATACGAAAAAAGAAAGGTACACTAATATTATGCTTGGTCAAAATATTAATGGAAACGTTGATAATATATATATGATTAGCAAAGTCATAATTCACCCCAAAAAAGTCTTAGGATACCTCTTTTTTTTCTATATTCAGAGGTAATTTCCACTAGACCCATCATCTTTTTCATGTAATCCAGTAAAAACTCACATGGTTAAATAACCAAAAATTAATAATGTGATAATTCTGTATCTAAGGAAACTCGATTCCTATTCTAAACCCATAAAGTTGAATTTTATACTAGAAAAGAACCACCCCACTACAACCTCTTGGTTATAAGAATATCTCTTTCCCATACAGTTTAAATTTTCACCATTTCATTATCAATATTTTCACTAACACCATATTTAGATTTTCTAGAATTATAACAAAGTAACAACGTTTAACACCCATTTAATCATTCCATCAAAAGTCAAAACTTTGTAAAAGTTGTGTTTAGGTTAAAGGTAGTTTGTCCCTTTGTATTGCAAATCTTGCCTTTTTCTTTATTTGCAATTTTCTTCTCGCTTTTTATATATGTAAAACCGAGTAAACGCCTAGAAGCGAAAGAGAAACCACCTTAAAATCTCATATACTCTTTTTCTTTTTTGAAAAAAAATATCATATTCTCGTTGTCAATAAATAAATAATTTTTTATTGTTTAAAACGTACACAATATTTAATAGTATACTACTTCTTACGCATCTGGTACACTTGGCGAAGAATTTTGTCCAACATAATTATATTAGAAGCTCAATTTTCTTTTAACAGGAGTTCTGTTGAAACGTATAGCAGCGTTTGGATAAAAATAAATATAGAAAGTTCATTGCTTGAAATATGGACCATATATTTTACAAGCCACTCGTGAGCCAAAATTTCTAAAAAATGCTTGCTTTTTGAGGGTTTGGGTTCTTCTCATAAGTCATCCCCCACGGTGTTTTGTTTGTTTTCCTTAAGTGGATGATGCGGGTACAGGTTAAGTAACCAGCTTAAATCCTTTTATAATTAGTTATTAAGGAGATGTAGTAACGATAAAGCAATTATTTAAAATAGCACCCTCGAAGTTTTTGTTCCAAACATGACATCATTAATTTAAATTTCAATGATAGCACAAATATAATGATAAAATGACTCAAAAAATTTTCTTAATAAGGGAAACTTTTAACCGTAAATTGAAAAAAGGGAATCCACACATAATGTTCTGATCGTATTTGTAATTTATTTAGGATAAATAAGTTTTTTCACACAACAATTATTAATTAGTGCTACTTTGAAATTTTAATCTTAATGTACTAAGTTTGAGAAAAACTAATTTTGTGCTATTTAAGAGTACTTTTAATGATAATGATAAAAACTGCGGAAGTAGAAGTGTTCACTAAGACTACATGTTAGAGAAGAATGGGATCAACTTCTTTGATAAAGGTCAATGATCATTAAGTCGTCGCCGTATACAGTATTAGAAGTTTGAATACTTTTGATCAATTGGTGGTGTGATTTCAATTAAAATATTTATGTAAAGCAAAAGGTGGAAAGGGATAAGATGTCATTAACTCATTATTAACCAAGCGAGACTGTCCTAATACGTTAAGTTTGACTAAGTTACGAATAAAAATTCTCATTGGGGGTTATATACTATTAACACTTGAATGAAAAAAATAACGCCATCTCAGAATGCATATATTCTTAATAATATACACAATATATATATATATATATATATAAATATATACGTACGTGTATGCATTTAGAAAACAATGATGATAAATGGTCGGAGGATCAAGTTGGGGAGATACTGAGGGCACTATAAAAGATATAATAATCATAAGAAATTTGAGGTGATTTGTGTCGATTTCTTACTTGGAATCATTTGAAAAGGCCCACGCTAGAGAATACTATAATTTCTAGTAATTATGAGCATATGTTCATTTCCTTTAGATACTACATCTTCAAAAAATGTTTGCATGCACACAAAAGATCTGCACATATACATGTATGTATTGTGTACATATAATTTTAAGTGGAATATAGAATTTGATGCCTATCACCAAAAGATTAATTTAGTACATAGAAGAAAGAATCAACAGTATGTGATAAGTATATAGTTTCGTATCCCTAATGTAGTGGAATGCTTGCATGTTTTGATTGGGGCCTATCCCGTTGAAAATTTAAATTAACTTAATACAATTTTTTGTTTTAAATACCCTATTGGTTGATCAGTCAGTCCTTGGCAGAAATACATCAGTCAGTCCTTGGCAGAAATACACCAAGATGTTACAAAGTGGATTTTTTATCCCCATTCTATGGTTCAACGAACATCATTAATTTTGAACGAGTTTAATAGGCTATGAGATCCAACGGGTTATTACAACATAACTTGTTCCGAGTTTATTTTCTGATTAAGGTTAGGTTTAGCTAGATCGCTTGTTACAACTTACTGTATAAATTGTTTAGGCCTTAGGGCCAAGCACATACTTCCCACACAAATTTGTTATTGTTTCCAGAAGGAATCGAACTCGGATGAAGTATTGTAACACTTCACACGGTCCTTCTTACCATTAGATCACACTCATGCGGGTGTAACTCAAACATATGCCAAGAAAGAAAGAAAAAACTAAATATATATATATATATGTATTATGTATTATATTATACATACAAAATGTTATTTTATCT